GGGATCAGGATGAGATTATAGACAAGGAACACCACTGGAAAATTCATAAAATTAAAGAATCAGCACATATTCTAAACCACAAAAATCACAGTAATAAGGAGTGCCAGAGAAAAGCTATAATAACAACAAAAATTGCAATATGAGCTCTGGTAAAAACATGGAATGATAACATCAAAAAATTGGAATATGAGCACTGCTAAGAAATGATGGTGAAGCCATTAGGTTTATAATAGCCAGAAATTCATTCCTCAAGGACACATGGCACAGTGTATGAAGGCGTTAATTAGACCCAGAGACAGGACCCAATCAGTGTGAGTTTAATACGCAGTTAAGGCAGTGGAGACCTTGGAGAGGGGAATTAACTGACATCCATTAAACATGGCACGTAGAACTTGAACAGTCTACCCCAGTGAGCGAAATAAAGGGTTCAGTTCGACATTCCAACCACCTGAAGAAGGCTGGAGCGTACAACGGCCGAAACGTTGTGCACAGTGGATAAAGGCGTTGGTTAGATCCAGTGACAGCACCCAAAGATTGTGAGTTCAATACCTGGTTAAGGCGGTGGAGAACTTGTAGAGGGGAATTAACAGGAGATAACTGATAACTGACATACATTAGACATGGCACGTGGAACTAGAACAGTCTACCCTAGTGAGCGAACCGAAAGTATCGCTTAGATAAAGAAATCTAGCAATTTGAACCGTTGATGAGCAGAAATGTTTGCGAAACTTTGAGCCAGGAAAATAAATTCGGAAATATTTCTCTTATTTGATTAAAATTCCATCTCGATTTCTTAAGCCTGTGCACTTTACTTATAAGAAACCGGCTTTCCTTAAAAGCGTTATCCACCACAAATTTAAGGGTCTTTTTTTTTTCTGGCGGAACACAATCATTGTCCTTATTATTTTGATATCGATAACTAGCTAAATATATATATATATATATATATATATATATATATATATATATATATATATATATATATATATATTATTTGGTTACGGTTTTTAATTTAAGTCATTATTTTGATATCGATAACTAGCTAAATAAATAGATATGAATGTAAAAATAGTGAAGAAGATCGACTGGGAGATATGAAAAGGAAAAGATAAATAATAATAATAATAATTTTAAGGGACTTTACAGGATTCCTAGTAGCCAAAGCCTTAAAGAAATACAAAATAGTGTACTTACTAACAAAGGGCTTCATCTATGTAAAATATGTGTGTTTTTTTAATTGGTCCGTGGAAAATGTCATGATGCCATTTCTGGCCTTAAGTCTATGGCAGGGACCCGGAAGGAAATGTGTTTAAAGCAAGAATAATATATATATATATATATATATATATATTATTTGATTACAATTTTTAATTTAAGTCCTTATTATTTTGATATCGATAACTAGCTAAATAAATAGATATGAATATAAAAATAGTGAAGAAGATCGACTGGGAGATATGAAAAGAAAAAGATAAATAATAATAATAATAATAATAATAATAATAATAATAATTTTATAAGAGTTTACAATAAACACAGACAAAACAATTAAAGCTAATCGGCCAGACATCGAGATCAAAGACCACAAAAAGAGAATGTGTCTTCTTATTGACATGGCTCCCCCTGCCGATTGTAATGTATCTTTGAAGATCTTCAAAACACCATTAATATACAAGAACTATGAAATCGAAATCTCAATAATGTGGTACATGGGGACATCAGTAATACCAATTGTAGTTGGAGCACTCGGATTGATTGGAAAAGGTTCCGATAGACTCAAGGAAAGGATCCCTGGTAGACAAAGTCTTAAAGAAATACAAAAAAATTGTACTCACAATTAGAGTTCACAATTTACGGAGGGCTTTATCTATGTAAAATATGTGTGTGTGTGTTTTTATTTGGTCACTGGAAAATGTCATGATGCCATTTCTAAACTTAGGTCTCTGGAAGGGACCCGGAAGGAAATGAGTATAAAACAGAAATAAAAGCAAATAATAATAATATTAATAATAATAATAATAATAATAATAATAATAATAATAAAACTATAGTTCCGAAAAACTATAGACCAATTACATGTCTTCCAACAACATACAAACTGTTAACATCTATTTTAACAAAACAGACATATTTCTTCTTGGAAAGAAATGACATACTACCACTTGAACAAAAAGGGTGCAAACGAGGCTGCTACGGATGTAAAGACCAATTACTTATTAATAGGATGATCCTGGAAAACTGCTTCCGTGAAAAAAAAAATCTTAGTATTGCCTGGATAGATTATCGTAAAGCATTGATAGTGTACCACATTCCTGGATCTTAAAGTCTTTAAGTATGTACAAGGTATCACCCGTTATCATCAATTTCATCAAACAATGTATGTCGATATGGAAAACTACACTTTACCTCAATCATAAAATGGAACCTATAAGTCTGGCGAAATAAACATCAATAGAGGAATATTTCAAGGTGACTCTTTGTCTCCTTTATTATTTTGCAT